GGGGCCGGCCTCCTCAGAAGGCGGCGGGGCTTCCCAGAAGGCCTCGTGCCTCCCGAGGAGCCGTCCGCGTCTTCTTAGAAGGCCGGGGGGGCGGGGGATAGGGGGAAGTCTGCGGCGTGCAGCTCGCTTCGGCCCCGCCGCCCAGCGGGCTTCCTGGACGCACTGGCGCCTCCTGGCGCCGGGAGGTGCCGGGGGAACAGGCTGCGCGAGCTGGATTCGCCAGCCCCTCCCCTCCTCCTCCTCCTCCTCCTCCTCCTTCTCCTCTTCCTACTCCTCGTCCTCGTCCTCCTCTTTTTCCTCCTCCTCCTTTTCCTCCTTTTCCTCCTCCTCCTCCTTCTCCTCCTCCTCGTCTTCTTTTTCCTTGTAAGTAAATTCTCCTTGTCGCATTCCGAGGCCAGTGTTTAAGGCGGGCCGGGCGTTTCGTCTGAGACGTCCTCGCCATCTATGACTCTTAAGCTGGAAAATGGCAACAGTTTCACAGATGGAGGGCAGGTGGTTTTCAGAATGTGGCTCTCGCCTCAGCGCCGCGCACACTCGCTTAAACAAATGCAGAAGTTTCACAGATGGAGGGCGGGTGGTTTTCAAAATGTGGCTCTCGCCTCAGCGCCGCGCACATTCGTTCTAAACAGTTGCAACAGTTTCACAGATGGAGGACGGGTGTTTTTCAAAATGTAACTCACCTGAGCGCCGCGCACATTCGTTTTAAACATTTGAAAGAGTTTCGCGGACTGAGGGCGGGTGGTTTTCAACATGTGGCTCTCGCTTTAGCGCCCCGCACATTCGTTTCAAACATTTGCAAAAGTTTCACGGGTTGAGGGCGGGTCGTTTTCAAAATGTGGCTCTCGCCTTAGCGCCGCGCACATTCGTTTTAAACATTTGAAAGAGTTTCACGGACTGAGGGCGGGTGGTTTTCAACATGTGGCTCTCGCTCTGGCGCCGCGCACATTCGATTTTGAAAAATACAAGAGTTTCGCGGATTGAGGGCGGGTGGTTTTCAAAATGTCGTTCTCGCTTGAGCGCCGCGCACATTCGTTTCAAACATTTGCAAAAATTTCACGGATTGAGGGCGGGTCGTTTTCAACATGTGGCTCTCGCCGTATCGCCGCGTTTTAAACATGTGCAAGGTTTTCACGGATTCCCATGATCAGCGTAGTAGAAATGTTGCTTTGTACGGTTTCAGGATTATACGGGTGCAGCAATTCTGTTGATTCGCGGTGCTGAAGTCCTAAAAATGGCGTTCTGTCACGATTCCGGATCGTCAAGACGCAGCAGTCAGGTTGATCAGTGGCGTTGAAATCCCGAGAACAATGTTTTGGCATGATTCAGGGTATTCAAACGGTGGTCTTCCAACGAGGCAGTTCCCTCAATGGAAATGAACGGTTGTACGGGCCTATGAAGAGGGAGCTTGGAGAGAGGGATAATTCCAACCTCGTTGATGACTTTTGGGTTTACACTGGTCCTCCTCCTCCTCCTCCTCCTCCTCCTCCTCCTCCTCCTCCTCCTCCCCCTCCTCCTACTCCTTCTCCTCCTCCTCCTCATCCCCCTCCTCCTCCTCCTCCTCCTCCTCCTCCCCCTCCTCCTCGTCCGACCCGCTTTGGGAGCGGGCGGGCTGGAGAGGCAGAAGCCAGATCAGATGTGGTTGCCCTTGGCTCGCGACCTTCCCCCCTCCCACTCCGTCTCTCTCCCTCTCCCCTTTCCGTCCCCTCCCCCTCCTGTCGCCTCCTCGCCCCGCTTTGCTGACAGCCTGCCAGGCCTCCTGGCTGAACCGGCTGCTCCGATGCTCCGCGTGCCAGTGTGCGGCACCGCCAACCGAGGTGATCGAGTAGGTGCCGCGGCGCGGGCCGTCCGCCAGGCCGCGGCAGAAAAAGGCAGAGGCCCGTCGGCGTACCTGTCAGCACAGCTGCCCTCGTACTGGGACGGCCTCGCGGTGCGGCATCGGCCGCGGCGCCGATCGGAAGGCGCCAGGGCGCCTCACGGAGCCTCCAGAGGCCCCCAGGAGCCTCTGGGGGGGAGAGATTGCGTGACTCCCGCCGAGAGCGGCCCGCATCGCAGCGGCCCAGATCCTTATCCGAGGACACGGCTAGCGAGAATTCGTTCCACGCAGCAAGACGTGCGAATCTACGCAATTCTAAATCAACGCATGAACTCACAAGTTACATCTCCCGCAAAGCACCCTGATAGCAAGATGCTGGTGTCCTAGTGGTGCCGACCTCGACGGCTCTCTTGACTCATGTGCACTTCGGGTGGAGGTTGTAGATTTTTGGGACTTGGGATGGTCAGAGCCCGTTGTCCCTCACAGATTGTGGACCTAGGACACCACACTCACTTGGTCTGAGAGATCCAGACTGGCAATAATACAGTGTTCCTGCCAGTCCTGCCAGACAGCGTGGGCCTGGGAGATCTGGAGTCGAGTCCAGTTCCACCGCTACGCTCTGTGGACCTGAGGGACTTGGACGTGGGAGGCTTAGAACGGTGAGAAGCCATTCCCCCTGCCGCGCTTGCTGAGCAGCCTGGGTCGTACCATTGTCTAGACCTCCCTGGACGCGCCATTGACGAGCAGACCAGCGCGGAACGCACTCACGTAGGGATCACTGTGGTGTGGACCTTTGGGTCACTTGGCGCACTGTCTTTTAGCGGACACGCACGGACTGCACTTGGAGCGGTTTGGGACGCAGTGTTGAGTTGGTTTGGGGCGCCCCATCCTCGAGTGGGATCGGTTGATTGGGTCCTAGGACGCGCCATCCTCGATGGGTTAGCAGGGAACGCACTGCGTCGGCACCGCGTAGGCATCGAGGGGCAATTCCGAGATAGAAGCAAGTGATCCCCCAAGGAAGGATTCGGTGAGGAGCAGTCTTTGGCTAGACCACTGGTTGAATTCTGCACGGGTACACCTTTAGGGAATCTGTTTGTCGAGGAAGAATAACTCTGAGGCAGTCCCTAGCATACCCAGCAATTTGCGAGTAAATGTGCAATTCCACATCCAAACCAATTCACTTTTCGGAATCATATGCCCGAGACGCGCAAGCAACATTGGAGCAGGTTCCAGCAATTCCAAGCACATGCATGGAGATGTGTGTACACCGCAGCAAGTGTGCAGCACAATGCAAACACACGCAAACATAACCCCCCTGACGCCCTCAAGCGCCGTCTAGGCACCTCCTAGGACCTCCTGGGCCTCCTCAGCCCCGCCAGGTCGACCCATATCCCGAGGGGGAACGAAGTGGTGCACCCGCCCCAGGGAGAGTGGACAAAGGGTGGGAGGAAAACGAACGGTTGCGATAGAACGCACCAAGAGCTCAGCTTTGGGGTGGGGAATCTACAGGGTCGAGGTAATCACATGGAACGTGCTCCACACTTAGGTGTTGCTTGCTGTTCTGCTGGGCTCGCAATGCGCTGTGCTTTGCTCGAACTACTGGCAGCCAAAACCACTGTGGCTGTGCCACACTACGGCGGTCCATAACATATTTACCCTTTGCGTTGGAGTGTAGACAATGGGTGCATATTGGGCCATCTTTCACATGATGTCCTTTTTCAGACAGAACTGATGATACGTTGGTGGCGTACGCGACACGCGGACAGTCGTCCCTTCTGAGAACGCGCTGATGGCGAATGAGTTACCTCGCCGAAAACCTTCAACGTCGCTGCTCCTGCGGCGTCTTTTTTTCCTCTGTAAGGCTACACGTGTTTTCTTTTTCTGAATTATTTGTTGCAGCATACTATCAGAGATGTTTTAATATTCGGATGATGTTCCAACGTGGAAACCACTCAGCTTATTCACTCTCCTCTCGGTTTTATGTTGTGATGCTTCTTGCTGCGCATGTGGGTTGCAATCTGCAAAAGAGCGTGTCTTCGCGATCGTTTGGGGGGAGTGGGGGAGGGGGGTTCGCCCCGAAAATGTAACGGATTACAACCTCACTGGAACGGATTCCAACCATTCCCATCTCAGTACAAATCAACTAGGTACCAATCCCAACCGCTTTGGGAGCTTTTTTCAGGATTCCCGCCCGATCCTTTCGCACGACCCGCCGGTTAGGGTCCTCCCGCGCCTCCCGCCCGTTAGGGTTCGCCGTCTGTCGTCTGTCGTCCGTCGTCCGTCGTGTCGGTCGTCGTCGTCGTCGTCGTTTGCTGGCGCGATGGGGGGGGAGGTCGCCCGGGTTTCGTGCCCCAGGGGGTTTTGAGGTGGCGATGGTGCAAATGGATGGGCGGGGAACGGCTTGCCTTTTTTTCTGAAAGGGGAGGTTCCCCTGTCCAGTGCTTTATCTTCAAGCCACTCGTAAGTGAAACGCGCTCCGACCAACATTCATGTATGCGTGTGTATATGGATAGAGATGTATAAATATTGTGCGTTGCCAGTGGGTCGAGCAGGAAATGGCATGCCTCCTCCTTCTGCTCCTCGAGCACCTCCCTCCCTCCACTCCATTTCTCCCCGTCTCTTCCTGGCTGGGGCCTCTCTCCTTTTTTGTTTTTTGTTTGTTGTTTTCTCTCTCTCTCTCTCTCTCTCTCTCCCTCTCTCTCTCTCTCTCTCTAGTTCGGCGACTGCAGTGGGTGTGGTTGCGCCACGGTGTGGCCTGCGACCGGCGCCTGTTGGGCCTTATGGGGTCACCACGCTGTGCCAGAGGCTTAATGAGCCCTCGCCAGGGCGCGGCAGAGTCCTCTGTCGAGGTACTCGCCCGCCGCCCTGGGCGCGGGTTGCAAACCGCACGCTCTGCAAACCACATGCTTCGGAGTCGCCGACACTTTCTCGCTCTCGCTCTCTCTCTCTCTCTTTCTATCGTTTGTCAGCTTCGTAGTTTTTCTCCTCTCTCTCTGGGGCCACGAACCGTGTGAAGGGTGTGCCGAAATGGGGCGGCGGTGCCATGCGGACGCTCCCGCTGGGGCTTTCGGTGGAGCTCCCTATGGGGCCAAGAGCCGTGCTCTCTGTCTTCCTCTCTCTTTCACCTCCTTCTTTGCCTGTCGGGTACATCGCGGCACAGTTGTTTCTGACGTATCGGTGATGGATACAAGGGCAACCGAGAGGAACCTCAGATATTGCGCATGATCTGCTTCACATGGTGCACTCATTGCTCGTTGCCTGGAGACGTTGCCAAATTTCATGCGTTCATCATGCATTTCGAACGAGAAGTTCGTATGGTCAGAAGGCAATTTGCGTCGTCCTGGGTGCCAGCTCAGAACATTGAATATTGTCAGGCATTTGCATCAGCTCCTCGAACGTGTTTTCTTCGCAGTGCCACGTTCGTGCCCTTCGCAGTAGCAGAGAACTTTTTACGCCATACTTTCTTGCCATCTGTACCTCCAGGCAAGCAAGCCATAACCATGAAGTGACACCCTGCGCCGCCGTGATGGTTCAAAAAGTGTGTGCAGCTTTTTGGCGGTGTTGTCCGATACTAGCCCAGCGGATGATTTCTTTGAATCTCTTCGCAGTTGCGAGTGGTTGTTCAATGCGTGGTTTCGCCATGTTTGTGTTTGCCCCGACATGGGTTCAGATTCCATTAGTGTGCTGTGGAACAGGGGCATCAATCCTATAATATTGGGGGAAACTGTTGCCCGCCTTGTCCTCGGTGCCAGCCATCGCACAGTCATGGGGGGCGGGGCACGGCAGTGAGTATGCACATTGGGGATCTTGTTGTTTGTCCGGGTCTGCCATCGGTCTTTCATTCGTTACAGGCTACCCCGCCGATCTGCCTCACAGGTGCAACTGAATTTTACAAATGTGGCAACTCCATTGTATTTTTGGACCCTGACCCTACGGATCTGCGTGAGGGGTGCCGCCGAATTTCAGACATGTGGCAAATCCCTTGTGTTTTTGGACCCTGACTCCGCCGATCTGCGTGAGGGTTCCAGCAAATTTCAGAAATTTGGCCAATCCTTTGTGTTTTTGGACCCTGACCCCGCCGATCTGCGTCACGGGTGCAACCGAATTTTACAAATGTAGCAAATCCATTGTATTTTTGGACCCTGACCCCGCCGATCTGCGTCACAAGTGCCACCGAAATTCAGAAATGTGGCAAATCCCATGTGTTTTTGGACCCTGACCCTGCCGATTTGCATGAGGGGCGCCGCCGAATTTCCGAAATGTGGCGAATCCCTTGTGTTTTTGGACCCTGACCCCGCCGATCTGTGTCACGGGTGCGACCGAATTTCACCAATGTGGCCAATCCTTTGTGTTTTTGGACCCTGACCCCGACGATCTGCGTGAGGGGTGTAATTTTTTACCCACCCCAGCACTTCAGACAATACGTTTTGGCTGTGGTAAAAATACCCGTTTTGGGCCTCCCCCCTTCGCGCGGTCCATCAACAAGGAACAGTAAGCAGCAAGAAGTCAACAAGGAACAGAAAGCAGCAAGAAGCAGAACTGTAACAGTGGAAACTGGAAGCTGCAACTGGTACAGGAAACTGCGAATCCTCGGATTGTCACGAGATGCTGTTTTAGCAAGGTGGCATCGGCCCTGACATCTTCGTTGCCCATGCGTCGTCCTCCTCCCCTATGACTCTGTCTTCTTCCCCCTGCACCTCCCTTTCCCGCCTTCCACCACCTTCACCTTCAGTTGCATCAAGAACCGTAGTGCCGATTTCCCCCTTTCACTCGAAGCTATGGCTGCTGACGACGGCAGGTTCAGCCCTTGAGCTGACGTTGCAATCCACCGCACATTCAATCGTAGAATGCTGGAATGCGCACCTTTTGATTGATAGGTCTTGTCTGCCGTGCGTTTTCACGTCCTTGTTTCTTCGTCCAGGCCTTTGGGCCAACATGGTGGTATGCCGCTCACCGCCCGCATCGGAGGGAAATACCAGATCGGGCGCAAAATTGGATCTGGCTCTTTCGGAGCCGCCTGCGAGGGCGACATTCCGCATATTCTTAGTCACAGCGCAGCGTAGCATTGGTTCTGAGGGCTGCTGTTGGGATGGTGGCCCACGGTGGAGTTGATAGAAGTGAGAGAGCAGCAGGGCGACGTCTCGATATTTTTGAATTCCACATGCAGCTGGAGGGGAGGACGTTGAGACTTCCGGGAGGGAGAGGTGAGCGAGGGGAGAACAGGGCAGGAGCCGTGCGTGCGTGCGTGCGTGCGTGCGTGCGTGTGTGTGTGTGTGTGTGTGTGTGTGTGTGTGTGTGTGTGTGTGTGTGTGCGTGTGTGTGGCTCTTGCACTGCGGCTTAAACTGCATCTGTACGCCCCACACACGTCCCATCCGCCAGCGCAGTCACTCTGCCCAGCCGCCGACGCAACAAGTGCGCGTGTGTGTGTGTGTGTGTGTGTGTGTGTGTGTGTGTGATTACGCCCCTGCGCCAGCGCAGTGACTCTGCCTAGCCGCCGACGCAACAAGTGAGTGTGTGTGTGTGTGTGTGTGTGTGGCCGAGGAATCTGGCACACTGGTTTGCCCCATGACTTGTCGCGATGGCTCGGGAGGAGGAAGGGTGCGCTCCCTTTACGCGGGCGCGCCTGCGGAGTGGCGCGAGGCTCTAAGAGTCGCCATTTACGCCACCGGCAGGCGCGATTGTATGGAAACAAATATGGACGCAGGGCACAGTGGCCCACGCCCAGGAAGAAGTCGGGCGGCAGCCCGAGACAACGTGCAACAGCGCCGAAGGCAGAAGAGGCACTTGTGCGGGGCAAGCCCAAAGCGAAATTCTCGAACGTTCGGACGCCGAGAATGAGCACGATAGAATACCCAAGAGTGGACCTTGGGGGGAAGGGGAGGACAGCCAAACACTAGGAATGCGACTGGGGGCGACCCACGAAGAGGAAGCCTATTTGAAAGGCGTGACGCGCACGCGACACGCAGGGGCTGGGCTGCTCTGAGGGCGCTGGCGCCAACCTGAGAAGTGGCAGCAGGCGGAGCAACAGACCGCTGCGGCCCCACGTGGCCCGCAAGGCTAAAGACCTGGCCTGGTGCTGAGGGAGTGGGAACCCAGTACCAGGGATGAGCGACAAGAGGTGACCCACAAGGAGGGAGCAACTTAAAGGTAGGTCCGAGAGGACCTGCAGACCAGCCGACTGAAAATATAGCGCCCGCCTGGGACCAGCCGCGCCGTAAAACTCAGCATGGTATCGAGCGGGGGAACGGGGAGTGGGGGGAGTCTCCACAGGGCAGGAACGAGTGAATGCTGCACAAAGAATCCAGGCATGACTGCGGAAAATACCGAAAGGGCAGCTGAGGCATTGCTGCAACACTACTGGACTGACTAGTCAAACCAAAGCGCTCAAGGTACTGAAGACTGTATAGCACAAGAGCTGCCAGTGCCGTCTCCAGAGATGGGGAGCGGGCGGGTAGGGGGAGTCCCCACTACCCCACCAGGCAGGAACGGTTACCAGAAGAAGCCCCTAACTGGAAAACAGATGTGCGCGTCGAGAAAATTCAGCACAGCAGCGCACACGTGGCTGAACAATGTGCGCTGAGGCAGGCTGAGTCTGACCTGCCGCTTGACTGTCTGAAGAGACCAGTCCGCCGTCTGAGCCTGGAGCAGCCGGGTCGCCTGGGTGCGACGGAAGGTCAGAAAAATCTGCGAACCTCATAGTTTTCCACTAGCTCAGCATCTCTTCTGCATAACGGTATCATTGAGGCTGGGAGCGGCGCGAGTCGACCAAATGACCACATAATCACATTGACCATGGACGCTGGTGGGGCCCTGGGCGAATCCACCAGCGAGGAAGAGGCGTGAACATGGGATCGAGCACAACTCGCACAGATTCGCTCACCGGGGACGCAGGGCAACGCTGAACATGTAGGACATCAGCAGGAGCCACGGCTGCGTCAATACTCACATGCCTGGTTGGGGTATTTTGTGCGCGACCTCATTTCCATTGCTGCGTGCCGACCTTGAGGAAAGGGGGCCGGCCTGTGGAGTGCACGATCGAATACAGCCGACCAGCTGCATTCGGAGCCACTCGGGCTGGGGGTACTTGCACGGCGACGGCTGCGCCAGAATGCGGAGCATCGCGGACTCGCACTGGAGCAGCATCGGAACGAACATCATCGCCGGACAGGGGCGAATGGGGAAGACGTCCGTGAAGGTGGCAGCGTAGGCGACCATGAGGACGCAGCCGCAGCAAGAACACCAGCTGCTTCGACGCCTGCAGGTACAGGAGGAACGAGAGGCGGAGGGGCGCGGGTGCAGGCGCCCGAGCCTTTGGTGGGCGCAGCAGCAGCATTGTCAGGTGACAACTCGCCTATCTGCAGCGGGCCTGCTGGGCCGGCCGCCCAAGGGAGGCTGGCCATTGCCGCAAGTTGACCCTCAGGGTTGGCGCAGGGAGCAGGCGCCTCGACGCCTGGCTGACCCGCCTGCGCGCCAGCCTTATAATGTGTGGCCTCCGCGACGACCCCGGCGCCGTGGGCATGCGGGGCGGCTGGCGACGCCACCGCCGGAGCCTTGGCCAGGGCCTGGGCCAGCCGCGATGGTTGCCGGCCACGGTGGTCTACCAGGGCCGCGAAGACGAGCACCAGGTGCTCGGCAGCGCGGGCGTCGGCCCGCGCGTACTGCGCGCGGCGCGCGGCTGCCGGCCGTGGCAGGCGTCGACGGCGCCCGGCAGCAGCAGGCCAGGCTTGGCAGCTGTAAGTAGGAGGATTTTATGTAGGGGGAACATGCGGGTGGAAAAGGGAATTTGGAGGGCGATAGGGCTTACCCCCGAGGGTTTCGTGGACGTCGCGTAACACGTGGTGATGAAATTTGTCGCAACGTGCGTCAGCACAGGCCACCGTGGCACTGCCGATTTGCAGCAGGCGAACTGTGCGCCTCTATTCCCGCGCCTTCTCTTCCGGTCGCGAGACAGTCGCGCCGAGCTGCCGCCAGTAGGAGGGACAAATACGCTGCAGTATGCACCCAGCTCGGCCACTCTGAGGCCAGGAGTTCAACATGCGCCCGTTCCTGAAAGCCCTTTCTTCAAGGACGGGGAACTCGTTAGCGGAATCACCAGGCGTGCAGATTTTATTGCGTGTAATGAAAGTAAAGTTGGGCTGCCAGTCCTCAAGGCAAACGGTTGCCAGAGAAGCTCGCCCAGCGATGCAGGGCCGCCAAGCCACATGGGATTCCACTAGCACCGCAACTGGCTATCTGGTTGGCTAGATTGATGCCCGCGCCGCACTTGCACCATGGTCGTTTGTCCTTCACTACCTGCGACCACGCCGAATCACCGATCCAACTGCGGCAGCCACATCGCATCTCAGGGTCTCGACCGTACTAGTCGCCGCTATCTTGGACTCGTCGAGCAGCACCTCCGCCTTCAGCAGTGCCTCGTGAGAGCGCGGCTGCCACGGTGCCACGGCCCAATGGCGACGTCGTTAACCTGGGCATTGGCCCATGTGGCCCTTGTGGGGGTCTATGGGGGTTGCTTAGATAAAGCTTCCACTGCGCTGACGACTCGAGTCACAAACACGACACTAGCGTAGACGTTCGGGTGTCTTGGCATCGCTCGGACGTGTGCTTCTTCTCTCGGCGAGGAGCATCGAGGAGCATTTTGGGCCATCTTGCGAAAAATAACGCGCACGATGCCGACAAATGCACGGGGAATGGACGCCCGAGCGATGGCGAGGTGTCTGCGCGGGTTTTCCGGGGTCGGCGCTGGACCCCCGTCCCCTGTGGCGCGCAGCGCGCCAGGCCAGGGTCGGCGCCCGAGGCGCCGCCAGGGGGTCAGCGCCGGCCCATCCGCTTCGCGCTGGAGCTTTGTGCTGCTCGGGATGAGCTGCCACTGCGCGTCCATCCCACTGTTCGCCAAGCTGTTAGTCATCGCCGGCCCATCCACTTCGCGCTGACCTCCGAAAGCATGCTCATGGAGGTCTTTGTCGCCCTGGATGAGCTGCCCTTGCGCGTCCGTCCCTTTGCTCGGCAAGCTGTTGGTCGTTTGCCTCGGCGTGCACCGTGTGCTGGCGGGGCCGCTCTCGCGGATCCCCACTGGCGCTTCTGCTCTCTTGCGTGTGAGCTGCGCTGGGACGTCGCCCGTCTGCACCCGAGGAGCAACAAACGACATGAACATCGGCGGCGACGATAGGGGCGAATAGCCCAGGGGCGGGCATTACACGTATTCGCCCGGGAGCCTTTTCGAAGACATATATCATCGGCGCATTTGATTACATGTATTGCTCTCCCCTGGGCTATTCGCCCCCATCGGCGCCCCTGAGAACATCACAGTTCCAGGGGCCCGCGCGGAGTTCTTGGGCTGCGGCTTGCGGCTTGAGCCCGCCGCTTCGCCCGCCTACGGCTCTCAGCGCCGCTACTCGGGAGGGAGAGGGAGTAGCAATGGCTCGCTGCGGTTGGTAGCCCGTGAGCGTGTTACTCCTCCATTTTGGGCCCAATGCTTCGTGTTTCTTCGACTCTAGCACGCTGATGGCTTCCCCTCGGCGGCATGTCATTGATACCGTTGTTGCTACCCGAGCTGAGTGCCCCACCGTGTCACGACCCCTGGTCGCTGAGCTGAGCACGCTGCCCTGCCTTCTGCCATTGGCCCGTGCGCAACCGCCGTGGCGAGCGCGGCACAGCGCGGCACAGCGCGGCACAGCGCGGCACAGCGCGGCACAGCGCGGTCAGCGGCACTGGCCGATGCCGCCGCAAGCGCCGTGTATCGGGTGCTCTGCTCGGCCAGCAAGCCCTGAGGCATCTCCCAAGCGGCTGCAGCAAGACTTCACAGAGGAGGAGGAGGAGGAGGAGGAGGAGGAGGAGGAGGAGGAGGAGGAGGAGGAGGAGGAGGAGGAGGAGAGAGGAGGAGGAGGAGGAGGAGGAGGAGGAGGAGGAGGAGGAGGAGGAGGAGGAGGAGGAGGAGGAGGAGGAGGAGGAGGAGGAGGAGGAGGAGGAGGAGGAGGAGGAGGAGGGAGGAGGAGGAGGAGGAGGAGGAGGAGGAGGAGGAGAGGAAGGGACAAGAGCAGGGGAGAAGAAGCAGGTGTTTTCCAGCCGTGGGGAGGGGTCCACGAGAGGGCGGGAACGTGTCCTGCCAAGGAAGTGAGTCGGTGGCGTACCGTTGTGGTTGCGGCTGCCTCGGCAGGGAGGGCCCCGCCGCGGCAGTGCCCGCGGCCGCGCCCGACCGCAAAGCGTCGAAGAAGCTAAGACGAGTAGTAATTGGCCGGCGTGCGGCGTGGAGGAGGACGGTGTAGGGAGCAGGGGGGGCGGGGGGAGGAATCGGGCATGGGGGAGTTCGGAGAAGGCAGACAGGCGAGGATCATGACCCTCCTTCTCCAACTGCTCTTCTTCTTTCCTGCTTCTATTCCCGCATCTTCCTTCTCCCCGCTCTGTCTCTGACCTGGACCTCCCCCTTCCCCCTCCCTCAGTGGGTTGCGCACCGCCCGCCTACGTTTCCTCCTCCCGCATGTCTGCTCGTCGTCCTCCTTGTCCTCCTGCGTTTCCTTCCTTCATCCATCTCCGTCTCCTTCTCATCCCCTCTTTTCTTTGCTCTCTCCCTCTCTCTCTCTCTCTCTTCCTCTCCCTCTTTCTTGTATATATATATATATATGAAAGCATATCCCTTGGAGGTATGCCGAAGAAAGGGAGGGAGTGGGGTCGGCAGCGGCCTCGAGCACTCGTACAATGCCGCAATCCTCGCCGTGCCTCGCCAATAACCTTGCTGGGCCATCCGATCTTCGCAGCTTGCTTTGCAAGGCTTCTCAAAGGGATCGCGATGTTGTCGCGCAACTGTTCTATCGAGGTCTTCTGGGTTCGGTCGGCTTCTCGCCACCAGCCAATCTGGCCGAAAGTGATACTGCCACCAGCATGGTTGAGTCGTGCTTGCATCGCCGCCACGCTTTGCCCCGAGGAGACATACACATTGGCACGAATGTGCAGACGAACGATGAGGCCGCCTCCCTGCTCTGCTCATGTCCGCCCTCCTTGTCCCACCTTGGCTCTTTCTCCCCTGCTCTCTCTCTCTCTCGTGTCCATCCCCTCTTCCCTGCCTCGCCCTTCCCGCGTTCTCATCTGCCCGCGTTCCTTCTGGCACTGCCCCCCTTTCCACCTCGAGCTTTTTCCTGGCCCTGCCATGCCCACCTTGTGCTCCTCCCCCAGCAAGCGCGTTCCACTACTCGCAAAGTGCATACTCGCAAACGTCAGACAAAAGCATGTTTGCCCACATGTAGTGGACCGTAAGTCCCGCGCGGCACATCCGTGCCATTTGCGGGTAGTGACTTTGCATGTAGTGAATCACGCTTTTCTATGCCCCCTTCCTCCCTTCTTCCTCCCTTCCCCGCCCTCGCTTCCCCTTTACACCTCCAGTCCACCACGCTCCTGATCTGCTGAGATCATCGAGTGCTGCAGGCACATCGTCCGTTGATCGAGCTTTGGCACTTTGTCCCTAGTCGGGTAATGGGGAAGGGCAAGGGAGACGCATGAGTAAGACATACGTTGTATTTGGGATGGAAGAGGGGGCAGGGGGCTTGTGGGTGGTGTGTGGTCTGAGGGTTGGTGAACTGGATTCTGTCAGGTTGCTATCAAATTGGAGAAACTGACCACCAAGCAGCCGCAGGTGCTGTATGAGTCCAAGGTCGGCCATGCGAGTGATTTGCAATTTCTCCGGCCCAATGAGTGTAGCTGCCGCATTCTGTCCCGGTGTCTTGCATATGCAGTTCTGTGGGTCCTCTTTCAGAGGGCGGGATGAGGCTGTGTGGCTTCGTCGCCATCGGCACCGACTCTGGATTCATTAGAGCTCTTCATTTGGCGGTGCGCTCGTAGTCCAACACCTCTCCTTCCCTTTCAATCCCCATCTGCCCCGCCCCCCTTCCACATCTGACTTGATTGGGAGCGGAGAGTGGGGGTGTTGAATCGATTTCGCCAGTTCCGGAATTTTGCATCGTGCTTGAAGCACCCATTCGATTCAGGAGGTTTACCTCCTTGGCTGATTCTTGTAACTATATATATATACATATACACATCGGCACAGTATACGTGTTTACATACATGCATGCATACATACGTACATACACACATACATACATACACGCCTACACACATACACACATGCATACATACACACATACATACAAACATACATATATACATACGTACATACATGCATACATACATACACACATACATTCATACATACATACATACATACATGCATGCATGCATGCATGCGTTCATACATATAGGCATGCATACATAACTGCATGCATGCATGCATGCATACATACATACATACAAACAACCATACATACACATACATACATACATACATGCACACACATACAGACATGCATACACACTTACATACATATGTACATACACACATCCATGAATTCATATACACATCCACACATACATGCATGCATGCGTACATGCATACATACATACATACATACATACATACATACATACATACATACATACATACATACATACATACTTACATCCATACATACACACATACATGCATACACGAAACGCATACATACACACATACATACATGCATACATACATACATACTCACACACGCGCATACACATATACACATGCACACACATACATACATACATACATACATACATACATACATACATACATACATACATACATACATACATACACACATACATACATACACACATACACACAAACATACATACATACATGCATGCATGCATGCATGCATACATACATACATACATCTGAGCTTGATCCCTTATTCAACTATTTATGAATAGTCGTTTTGCTTTTCTGCTTGCCTGTCTGGATGCATGATTGCTCGTTGCTGTACGTGGGATCGTGCATATTTGCTTCTCGACCTGTATGCCCTATGTCGCTGCTTTCCTTGTTTCGAGAGCCCGTTGCTTCGCGGACCTTGTTGTTCCATGTGGGTTCTCTTGGCCTCGTTTCATCGTGTGCGATGCATCAGGCGACGGAGTTGCAACCTTGTCCCCTTGCCCAGCTGCCGCAGCGGGATCTCTTGTCCCAAGAGCCCCTCGATCCGTTCCTTCGAGGACCTTCCTGACCAGGATGCGATTGCGGATTCTGCGAATTAGTCGTGGCCGCATTGCCTTTTGGTGGGAAGTGCCATTGAGAATTTGAGGAAGCCAACGTCTACGTTGAATCGTGGCCCCTCGTTGCCCCGTTGCCTGGGGCTCGTTGCAGGACGTGACGATGGCGAAGTTGTCGCGTCTCCTGCTGCCTTGGGGTGGTCAGCCATGCAGTCAGAGTGAGGAGGCCCGTACGGTCTTACATGATCCCTGCGCGCGCGCGTGGCCAGAGGGCACGCTGGGAGGGCACGCTGGGATGGCACGCTGGGAGGGCACGCTGGGAGGGCACGCTGGGCGGGCACGCTGGGCGGGCACGCTGGGAGGGCACGCTGGGAGGGCAGGCTGGGAGGGCGCGTTGGGAGGGCACGCTGGGAGGGCAGGCTTGGAGGGCAGGCCAGGAGAGCACGCTGGGAGGGCACGCTGGGAGGGCACGCTGGGAGGGCGCGCTGGGCGGGCGCGCTGGGAGGGCACGCTGGAAGGGTGCATTTGGGAGGTGGGCTGCCTGAAGGAACGCCTGTTCGTAGCTCCGCTTTCCCCTCCCCCTCCCCTTCATCTCCCTCCGGCCCTCGCACTCGTATCCGCAATGGCGGGGTGCTATACATGTATATATATATATATATATATATATATATATTTATAATACGGATCTCTCTCTCTATGTTTGACGAAGTTGCCCGGAACCCATGGCCTCGTGGTCCATCGTGGCCCTTCGTGATGCCTCGTTGGCTTCTCGTGGTTCTGTTGCCAGCGATTTCGCTTTAGGATTTGGCGACGTTCCCGGGCCCCCTAGCGACCCGTCGTGGCCATGTTAGTTATTTGGTGGCACGGTACTGTTCCATTTAGGGCATGACGAAGGCTGCTATGGTCGAGCTGCCTCGCAGGCCATGCTGCTTGGAGGTGCGTGTCGCTTGAATGTTTGACCAAGTTGCCACGCCCCCACCGCCTCGTACGTAGCCCCTCGTGGTTCCTCACATGTCCCCGTGGTCCCCTGTCACTTCGATTCATGGTCACTTCGACTCATGGTCTAAACTCCCGGTTTTCGTATGCTTTTCAGTTTGCTGTCCTTTGTGCCATAGCGTTCTGGCGGACATGCGGGCACGCGCGCGCGATGCGCCAGACGAACGTTGCCTGTCAGATTCTTCGCTGGTCCTCAGCTAAAAGCGCTCTTCTTCGGAGCTGCCGCCACCACTGATCTTGGCCCTTCCCTTTGGTCTCCGCTTCTTCCTGGAATGAGAGGCATGCGTAGTGGCATGGGCGAGTGTGTCGGAGCGTGATTTTGCAGGTGGACGTGCTGCGTTGCGCGCGCGCTCGCCCGCGAGTGTGTGTGTGTGTATGACGACGGTTGTTCGACGGTCCTGTCTCTCCCTCCGCTGCCGACGCCCGGGAATGCGCATGGCATGGTTGATCCTGACGGATCCCTTCCCCATCTGAGGGGCTGGTCGCGTGCCCGTTCTGGCATCGGATCGTTTGCTTTTCTCCGGCTCGGCGCTGCGCGCGAGGCCGCGATCGCCAGAATGTTGCCCACATTTGCAGAGCTGTCCTATGGATTCTTCGAGGATTCTTTAAGCATCCCCAGATGTCCCCCCGATCCCTGGGGGGAGGGGCGGGGGGGAGAGAGAACAAGCGACGAGGGTGGAGAGATGAGGAAATGGGAGGAGAGAAGAGGAGGAGGAGGACAAGTGTAAACCCAAGACTCATCAATGATCTCGAAGTAAACCCTCCCTCCGAGCTCCCTCTGCATAGGCCCCACTGGTGGAAGTTCCCCGTTGGGAGACAACCCCCTGAAGATCCTGAAGCATGCCAGAACACATTTCATTTCTCGGGATTCGAATGCCACGAATTAACCTGACTGTTGCATCTCGACGATCTTGAAACGTGCCAGAACGCCAGTCCTGGGACTTCAACGCCGCGAATCAACGTAACTGTCGCGCCTTGACAATCCTGATAATCGTTCCAGAACACCATTTCTGGTACGTTAGCCATGCGAAGCCGTGAAATGTTTGTATTATGTTATGCGATTGTGCGCGGCGCTAATGCGAGAACCACATTTTGAAACGAACCACCCTCTATCCGTGAATTTCTTGCAAATTTTCAAGACGAGTGTGCGCTGCGTTAAGGCGAAAACCACATTTTGAAAACGGCCCGGCGTCAGGCCGTGAAGCTCTTGTAATTTTTGGATACGAGTGTGCGCGGCGCTAGTGCGAGAGCCACATTTTGGAAGCGGCCCGCCGTCCATGTGTGAAATTGTTGCCAGTGTGTACGCTGCAGGATCATACATGGTCATTAATGGTGAGGAAGTCTCAGGCGAGACGCCCTACCCGCCTTTTCGACCAGCCTCGGGATGTGACAGGGAGGAGTTATTTATAAGGTAAAGGATTAGGAGGAGGAGGAGGAGAAGGAGAAGGAGGAGTGCGCATATTTTCACACATATCGTTGTCGGCGGTTTGTGGGCATTTGGGGGCGCCGTAGGGCCCCCGAAAGCCTCCAGAGGTTTCTGGAGGCCCCCGGAGGCGAAGCGCGACGAGTCTCCGGTTCATTCATCGGCCCCCGTCCACCTCGCAAGCACGTTGCGCTGCTCTCATGCGCGCGCCGTCTTGGTGTCGATGTGGTACTCTCTGACGCGCCGTCGTGCTCGCAGGTCTTGGCGGTGCGCACGGGGGCATGTCGGCCCGGTGGCCCCCCGTCGTGATCGGGGGGCACGAGCTGCCTCCCGATCACGCCCGTCATCGCGAACAACAGGTGGCACGCGTGCCCTGGCTCTTGCACAAAGGAGCTGCGAAGGACGGGAGGCCCCCGCTTTCGTCTTTCAGGAGGAGTCTGCGAGGAGCCAGAAAGAAAGTGGAGGAGGAGGAGGACGACGACGAGGACAACAACGACGAAGACGACGACGACAGTCGTCGGCGGCGCCACGCCGCGCGGCTCTCCGCCCGCGGTCGCCGCCGCGGCGCCGCCGCAGGGGGGGGGAGCAGTCCCGGGAGGCTCGGGGGAGGGGGGGCCGCGGCCCAGGGGAGCCAGAGGGGGCCCAGGTGGACGAACCACAACGACGAAAATAAAGGGGTTCGAGCTCTAGAATACAGCTTTGCAAGACAATAAACGGATCCGTGGCCCAGGGGTGCTGCCCTAGGAAGCCTGGACGGAGGGGGGCTCCCAAAGGCTCCCACGGGGGGGGGGGGGCCAGAGGAGCTGGGTCTCAAGGGGAGGGGCCCAGGGGGACGAACGAACCACGACGAAAATAAAGATGTCCGAGCTCTAGAGCACAGCTGTGCAAGAGAATAAAGGCTTCGGCGGCCCAGGGGGGCTGCCCTGGGAGGCTCGGGGGGAGGCTCGGGGCAGGGGGATCCTGGGAGGCTCGGGGGAGGGGGGGGGTCCAGGGACGACGAACCACGAACGAACCACGAAAATAAATGCTTCGGCGGCCCAGGGGGGCACCACGAAAATAAAGGCTTCGGCGGCCCAGGGGGGCTGCCCTGGGAGGCCCTGGGAGGCTCGGGGGAGCTGCCCTGGGAGGCTCGGGGGGGCTCAGCGGCC